ACATCATCCTCTTTATCACTATTATTCATTCTACCTTCTGTATGGACAGGTGTTAGAAAAAGTGGGTCATCTCTTTCATCATTAGTTTTGTCCTTGATTTCAGGAATCCTTGCCTTTTCTTCTGAAGTCTCCTGAGGGAACAAGTTCATACTCATATCTTTGATTATCATTTTCTAAGAAAGATGGTCCACAATCATGGAAGATGATTCTGAAGCAGTACTAACAGAGAAATAGTTAGCAAGTTTGGGTAACTTGCTTACAATATTCTCTTTCTAGCTTAGCTTTCCTTTTTGCTGTTCTGTTTTGAAATTGTCAACTGGACATATTGTTTAAGCAAGGTTAAAACAATACTGCAGTTCTGTCATTAGCACCCAGCATTGGCAATTAACACCGCCAATTCACACCCTCATGACCAACAATTCAAAGTCTAAAAACATAAATTAAATTTTAACTGTGAAAGCTTAAGGAATTGGGACAAAATCAATATCAGCAGGGTGCATAAATTAGGTTTTTTTTTTGTTCTTTTCTTTTTAGTATTAGCACAAGTATGATCAAAATCTCCCTTTTATAATGTATATTTCAAGGATTGGCAGCCCTGCAGGAAAGCAGAGGCTTGGGGCTGCATTCCCCTTACTCCCTATTCTCCAGTCCAGCTTCTGTGCCCAAACTACTGGGCCAGGATTTCTCAACCAGAGGATCACTGACCCCCCCCCCCCCCGCGAAGGGTTGGGAAAGGCCATTAGGGGCATTGGGAAGTGTTGAATATGCTATTATAATCTGAAACAAAAGAAATCTTGTTCCCCCACTCCCTGCACACCCTTACTCTACCAGGTCAAATATAACAAGGAGTCTGGTGGCACCTTAAAGACTAACAGATTTATTTGGGCATAAGCTTTCGTGGGTAAAAACCTCACTTCTTCGGATGCATAGAGTGAAAGTTACAGATGCAGGCATTATATACTGACACATGGAGAGAAGGGAGTTACTTCGCAAGTGGAGAACCAGTGTTGACAGGGCCAATTCAATCAGGGTGAATATAGTCCACTCCCAATAATAGATGAGGAGGTGTCAATTCCAGGAGAGGAAAAGCTGCTTCTGTAATGAGCCAGCCACTCCCAGTCCTTATTCAAGCCCAGATTAATGGTGTTAAATTTGCAAATGAATTTTGAAGTCTGTTTCTGAAGTTTTTTTGTTCAATGATAGTGACTTTTAAATCTGTAATAGACTGACCAGGGAGATTGAAGTGTTCACTTACTGGCTTATGTATGTTACCATTCCTGATGTCCGATTTGTGTCCATTTATTCTTTTGCGGAGGGACTGTCCGGTTTGGCAGATGTACATGGCAGAGGGACATTGCTGGCACATGATGGCATATATAACATTAGTGGATGTGCAGGTGAATGAGCCCTTGATGGTGTGGCTGATGTGGTTGGGTCCTCTGATGGTGTTGCCAGAGTAGATATGGGGGCAGAGTAGGCAACGAGGTTGGCTACAGGGATTGGTTCCTGGGGTTGGTGTTTCTGTGGTGTGGAGTGTAGTTGCTGGTGAGTATTTGCTTCAGGTTGGGGGTTGGTCTGTAAGCGAGGACTGGCCTGCCTCCCAAGGTCTGTGAGAGTGAGGGAGTCATTTTCCTAGGATAGGTTGTAGATCGTGGATAATGCGCTGGAGAGGATTTAGCTGGGGGCGTGTATGTGATGGCCAGTGGTGTTCTGTTATTGTCCTTGTTGGGCCTGTCCTGTAGTAGGTGATTTCTGGGTACCCGTCTTGCTCTGTCAATCTGTTTCCTCACTTCCCCAGGTGGGTATTGTAGTTTTACGAATGCTTGATAAAGGTTTTGTAGGTGTTTGTCTCTGTCTGAGGGGTTGGAGCAAATTCGGTTGTATCTTAGGGCTTGGCTGTAGACAATGGATCGCATGATGTGTCTTGGATGGAAGCTGGAGGCATGTAGCTACGTATAGTGGTCAGTAGGTTTCCAGTATAGGGTGGTGTTTATGTAGTCTCTATCAACCTTTTGAAACACACACACAAATAATATATATAGTCTGGATAGCTGGAGACCAGTTCTGGCTGGAGGGGTAACTAATTGGGGTAATGAGAGGTTGGGGAGCAGAGCTGGAGAGGCAGAGAATCCTAAGAGTCCACGAAGTCTTTAGCTAATGCCAGGCTTTCTCAGATTCGTGCACAAAACATTTTACAAAGCCAGATTCTTTCTACTTTAAGTGGAAAATTTTGAATGCCAGTTGAAGAAAACTGTAATCTACGGGCTTTATCCATCTATTATGCAGAATTTTTCATGGAGCACCTGTAAATGTCTTCTTGTCTGACCAGCTGATTTCGTGGCTCCTCAAAAAGTCCGTCTACACCAGGGATCAGCAACCTTTGGCACACGGCCCACCAGGGTAAGCACCCTGGCGGGCCGGGCCAGTTTGTTTACCTGCTGCGTCTGCAGGTTCGACCGATCGGGGCTCCCACTGGCCGTGGTTCGCCACTCCAGGCCAATGGGAGCTGCAGGAAGCGGCATGGGCCGAGGGATGTGCTGGGCGCCACTTCCCGCAGCCCCCATTGGCCTGGAGCGGCAAACCACAGCCAGTGGGAGCCCCCATCAGCCGATCCCTGGTCTACCCAGTCCATGGCAGAGAACCTCCAAGTTTGTAGCAAGAGATTTGGGCTTGCAGAGGTTGCACTGCTACAGTAAAAATATCTGTATAGAGATTACAGCTGAGTCTGGCGCTTGGGCTCTGAAGCCCACCCCCTCATCCCCGTCAAGGCATCAGAGCCCAAGTTCCAGCTCAAGTCACACTATCTACACAGCTATTTTTAGCATGGTACCACGAGCACCATGAGCCTGAGTCTGTCAACCGAGGCTTGGAGACTTGCTGCTGTGGGCTTCCACTCATTGTGTAGATATACACAGAAAGTCTCAGATTCTGTTGCCCCTACCAGTTGTCACAGCCTGATGCGTATTCTTGCTCCTCTTCAGCTCAGCTACAAAACCCACCATATGGCCTAATTCTAAACCGGACTCCAAGCATGGGCCAGCCCTTCTGCTTGGCTACTTCCATGCCAATCTACTCTTCCCCTTCCACCTCCTGTGAAGATGCTAATGTTTGCCGGAGGAGAGGTCTGCTTCCCTCCAACTTAGCAGGCTCACTAGCCACCAAATGTGTTTTTATGCTGGAGCTGGGAGCTGCACTGAATAGACATCCTATGACCAACGCCTCTCCCTGACCTGCTCCAGACCCCACTAGTTCAATGCACCCATATAACTCACCTCCTTCTCCCCACATTCCTAGTAGTGTAGAATGCAGTTCAGTAGCAGTTCAGTAGTAGTTAAAACTATAAGTGCTAAGAAACTAGAAAGTACAATTATATGCCCCCGTGATCATACTTTTACAGGGTGGTTTGGTTTGGTTGGTGTGACATTTTTGTTGGAAAACTGAAATTCTAATGAGTAGGCATGAGGATGTATAAATAACTGCCTATGTATGAATTTTTCCATTTGTAGCTTATTCTATTTTCAAGTTAGAAGTAGCAGGAATATTATGAATGGGTTTTGTGTAGTTTTGGTCTGTTTTATTTCTTTATATGTTTTTACTTTTCATAAAGGGCTCACTTTTTAGGTCTAGGTGTTTGAACATTTTTATTCTACACTTGGAGAGTGGGGGGAGGACAGGGAACCCGCCTTATATTAGTTATAAAATTGCTCCTTGAAAAAGCTACTTCCCATGAAAAGTTAAAAGTGTGGAGTTGTAAATAAAATAAAATAGTGCTGTGAATGTGCATAAGACTTCCACAAAGCACAAAAAAGAACAGTTACTTTTCCAAACACCTTGCAGTTGAATTCTGACCAATATATTAAACAGGATGACAACTCTAGTACAAGGTCAAAAGACTCAGAGACTCTTGTGGCAAGTTATTTTTAATGAGGGATCTGAAGCAGAAGGACAGTGGGTACACACAGTAGGAGGCTTTCTGAGTATAGGCAGTGTCCTGTCAGAAAATGCAAAGTCACAAGTACTCCACAACTTCAATCACACTGTAATTGCCAGTCACACTTTCTTGGCATTCACAGCTCATGGAAGTGGGTGGGAAAAAAAGGTTAAAAATATTCAGGGAATCAGAATTTTGGTACCAAACCTTGTTCTTTGCTCCTAGGCTGTCAGGGACCTTTACACTTCATCACACTAGTCCAGTGACTGAGCATGGGGAGAAGGAAAGTAAGAGATGCTTCCTTTGGCTGTTGGCCCTCTCCTGTCACCTTGTTTATCCTGGGCTGATGATGTGATTTCCATTATAATGGCATGATTTAAACAATCCCATTACACCTGACTTTGGTTTTTATTTTGGATTAATGGAACTTTTCAGCTAGTGCCTGAGCCTGAACATAAACCCAATCAACAGCAATGGTATCTATGTCCCTACATGTTGGTGTTTCAGTACCTGTATCATTTGGATTCTGTAAAGATGCTTTTTGTTTTAATAATCAGATTCAATGAGCATCATAGTGATACCTATAAATAAAATACCTTGAGGGAATAATATGATTGATAACGTCTTCTGGAGGCTAATGTTGTAAAGGAATCTGTGCAGACACCACTACTTAAGAAACATATTGGGCAAGATTTTTTGGCTGGTGTAAAATCAGTGTCATTCCACTGAGGTTGATGGAGCTTGCTGTTTTGCACCAATTGAGAATCTGGCCCGTGTGACCCAATTCTTCACTGTCTTGCATCTTGTGTAATTATTTACAACTATGCACAGTTGATATAACAAATTTCAGGCTGGTGGAAAAATCAAGCTCTTTGATTCATATTTGAAAATAAAGGTCTTTTCAGTTTAAAGTACCACAGTACTGTGCAGCAAGAAGGTCTTATTTGAAATTTTTTTTTCAAAATAAATAGCTAGTTTTGAAGAGGGTGGTTTGTTTTGTTTTGATTTTTCTTTGTCAAATGTCTGACTTCCATTTGCTAACCGAATGTAATCTTTTTTTTTCCTTTAGAAAAGTGTTCTCCTGGTCGTTTGGAAAATGGTAGATTTCTGTCTGGCTATTGGAACACCTACAAAGAAGGTGATGAAATTTCATATGAATGTTCTCCTGATAATCTGCGAACCAAAGTTACATGCACAAAGAATGGCTGGTCACCTACTCCAAGTTGTACTTCTAACAGTAAGAAACATTCATGTTCTATTGATCAGCTCGTTAAAAAACTTATAGACGTATTACTGTCATCATCTGCCTGAAATGAAACAAAAATGCCAGTCCTAGCAGGTGACTTGTCATGACAATGCACATTTCTGACCTGAGTAACTGTGCGATCATATTGCATTGACCTTCAAAGTTCTTCACCCAGCCCCTGACTGCTGTTTATCACCCCTGCTTTTTCTATGTACGGTGACCAGGTGTCCGGTTTTTGACCAGAACACCTGGTCAAAAGGGGATCCTGGTGGCTTCGGTCAACACCACTGACTGGGCTGTTGACTGTCCAGTTGGCAGTGCTGTGCAGCGGGACTGGCAGGCTCCCTGCTAGCCTCAGTGCCGCTTCCGGGAAGCAGACAGCTTGCCCCCCTCAGGCTTCTACCTGTAGGGACATCCAGAGGGCTCTGCACGCTGTCCCAGCCCTAAGCGCCGCTCCCACTGGCCAGGAACCATAGCCAATGGGAGCTGCGGGGGCAGTGCCTACAGATGAGGCAGGGCGCAGAGCTGCCTGGCCACACCTCCGCATAGGAGCCTGAGGAGGGACATGCTGCTGCTTAAGGTAAGTGCTGCCCAGAGCTTGCACCCCTGAACCCCTCCTGGGCCTCAAACCCCTGCCCCAGTCCTGACCACCCGACTGCCCTCTGAACCCCTTGGTCCCAGCCGGGAACATAGTCCTGCACCCCAAACCTCTCATCCCTGGCCCCACCCCAGAGCCTGCACTGCCTCCCACACCCCTTCCCGCACCCCAACCCCCCTGAGCCAGCTTGGTGAAGGGTGAGTGAGGGTGGGGAGAGCAAGCGATGGGGGGGGCGGAGTGAGGGGGAGGCTTGGAGGAGGGGTGGGGTAGGGGGCGGGGCAAGGCTTTTCGGTGTTGTGCCAGTGGAAAATTGGCAACCCTAGTTGTTTCATTTCTAAAAGTTAGATTGGGGTTGGGACAGGTACCAGGTATTTCTTTGTCTTCTGTATAGAGCTAAGCATATCCTTTTGTAATAATAAAATAGTAATAATAGTCCCCAACCCCTCTGCCCAACCCTGTTCTTCCTTAACCCAAGCCCATAGCCATCCTTATTCCCACCTCTCAGCACTAAAAATAAAAATGTAGCTGTGGCCACTTGAGCTGTGGGAGGGGCTAGCCTCCCCACATATGATCCTGTCAAAGATAATAAGTATGTACTGAGATGGCTAGCCACTTGCATCGCCACAGCAGTACTACTATTTTTAATGTGCTAGTTTGATTGGAGCTAAAGCTAAAGTATGTCTCTTCATTCTAGAATTTACAAGGTTCCAACTCTTATGTAGACATACCCACAGTCTCAGTGCCTGGCATGAGTGTGGCCCCTAGGAGCCAAGAGACACAATTGCAAGGAAAGTTCTTTTCAGCCCCTGCCACCTTGGGCTAGAGCATGTTCAGTACAGATGGAATCTTTAGAGAATAACACTGCTTTACAGCCAAAA